CATATCTTAAGTTACATATCTTAAGTTACAGCATGGAACAAAGGATCAAGACCATCTGAGAAGTTACAGCATGTTCCATTTATTATTTGGATGAACAAAGAAGAATCTGGTCAATTAACAGTCAGCACTTAATTAGCGGGAGAGAAAAGTCAGCGGAATTCAAAATCAGATGGACAGATCTCGTTGACAGGATGGGACTCAAGACTCATGACAGCCTTGACCTCTTCCTCAGGCTCAATCTGGTCATTTACATCAGGGGTCCCCGTCCCTGGGGTCGTGGAGCAGCATGCCAGAAACTGGTTTGCAGAAAGAAGCAAAGCCACATCCGCAGGATGCAGATGGCAGGTGAAAACACGCCTCTGTTAGTCTGTGGAAAAACCTCTCTCGGAAACAGTCCCCGGGGCCCAAATGGTTGGGGTCCCATGAACTACATGAACTTAGACCAGCCTCCTTCCCACATTCAGATCAGAAGATCTGTCCCGAAGATGTTGAACGAAAGAAGACTTAAGATGATTTGATTAGAATATATATGGTTATGAAACAGGTAGTGATGATTGCAGCAATAAAAAAAAATTCTTTCCACTTCAAAGCATTCTCTGCCATTTTTCGGGCTTTTTTGTTCTTCGCCAGGAAAGCTTTGACAATGCCATCCATCAGGATGGGCTCCAAATACAGCTGGTTGGTGTAGTACCCACCTCCGTTCTCTGAAACGGTTCTCTGCACAGTCTCCATCAGATCTGAGACCTGATTATCCCGCTCGACTTCCGTGGCCTTGTTGTTGAATCCGCAGAAGCGGTTCCGGCATTGCCGGATCACATCCCGTAGATTTTTGTTGTCAGATTTTCGGACGTACTCCTTCAGGGGGATCCCTCCCAGATCCTCTATGCGGGTGAAGAGGACGATCGTGCACCTGGTGGATTCTGCCCCAAAGATATCCTGGACGCACTTCACAGCAGCCGCGTCTTCTGCAGAGAAGCGTTCCACCTGGGTCACCAAGATCAAGGCGTGGGGGCCAGGCCGGGAGAACTCAATGCAAGGCATGACCTCCCGTCGCACACCCTCACTGTAATCGTCAGAATTGAACATGCCTGGCGTGTCGACCACAGAGATTGTCTTGCCCTGCCAACTTCCCTGTCCCCTTTGGCACCTCAGGGTGGTGCTTTTTGCTGACAAGATAGACTTAAACTCCTTCCATCCAAGGATGGTGTTGCCCGTGGCGCTCTTCCCACCGCCAGACTTTCCGACCAGGATGAGCCGGAGTTCGGCATGGTCCGCTGGGAGTTTGGAAGACAGGGGGACAATGTTAGGGCAGAGTGTAGTTACACTGCTCAGTGGAATTCAGTTCATGTATTCAACTGTTGACAGAGAGAGGGGGAGGGAGGGAGAGATGGATAAATAGATAGGGAGGGAGGGAGAGAGAGAGAGGGAGATGGTAGAAGTAGAGATGGGGGAGAGAAAGAGATGGTTAGATGATAGGATAGATGGATGATAAGAGAGAAATAAACATACAGGATAGATAAATATGGATGGATGGATGGATAAATGGATGAGATAGATAGATAGATAGATAGATAGATAGATAGANTTTGTGATGCGATGACCAAAGCGGGATGCAGCATTCCAAGAGGGGCCTTACTATGGCTTTGCAAAGCGGCACTAATCTTTCCTGTGATTTTTGTTCTGTGCCTCTGTTTATACAACCGAGGATCCTGTTAGCTTTTCCGGCTGGCTCGTGTTTATGGGGTCGTCCTCTAGGACTCCGAGGTCCATCTCCCGGTGATTGTTTCAATCCAGGTTTTTGCCTACTCTATACTAGTTCCTTTTGGCTTTTCCTGCCCAAGTGTAAAACCTTGCTTTATCTCCACATTAAATTTCATTTTTGTTGGATAAGATCCATGCTTAATATCCGGGGTGTCAAACTCAAGGCCCCCGAGCCACAGGTGGGTTTCTGCTGATTGGTCCAGGATCAGGCAAACTAGTAGTGGCAGTGGTGGGAGACTCTGCCTACCCACATGGATGCTTCTGCACATGCGCAGAAGTGTCATGCAAGTGCGTGAGTGCATGAGCAAACTTGTAGTAAAATAAATTAAAACCCAACACTGCCCCGGGCCTATGGGGTGGTTAGATCTGGCCTGCGGGGCTGCCTTGGAAACAGAGAAGGACCAGCCTGCGGTGCCTCTGCCAGCACAAATGGAGCTTGGGAGGGCCGCGCACGGCAGAGGGTTGCAGGAGGCTGTCACAGCCAAAACGGAGTTTGGGAGTTCGTTTTCATTGGCAGAGCGCTTGGGCCATCACAGGCACCCCCAACAGGAGTGACGCTGAGCTGGCCATGCCCATCCTGGCCCCAGCCCCAAAGTCAAACACAACCATAACACGTCCCTCCATGAAATCGAGTTTGACACTCCTGGTTTAAATGGTCTTACCACGCGTAAAAGCAGTACTAACGCTTCTCGTGAGTTTGAGTCTATCCCCCGGTTAATGCAGCATAAACAAAATGCGCTACGTTTTTGTTCTCCATTTACTCCCAGAAGAAAAGTCATCTGGGCTTGTAGATTAGTCTTTAAAATCTTCCGAATGAGCGTATACCTCGGGCACAGTGGATCAAGAGCCTGTTACGTGACAGCATGTCGCAAGGGATCAAGACCATATGTGAAGTTATGGTGTGTTGCAAAGGATCGAGACCATATTTACGGGGTGTCACGGGATCGACATATATGTTAAGTTACGGTGTGGAGCAAAGGATTGAGACAGATTTAACAGATTAACAGAGTTGGGACCCTATAGATCATCTAGTCCAACCCCACGCTCAAGCAGGAGACCCTACATCATTTCTGACAAATGGCACTCCAATCTCTTCTTGAAAGTCTCAAGTGATGGAGCTCCCACAATGTCCGAAAGCAACCTCTGTTCCATGGGTTGCTTGTTCTCACTGTCAGAAAATTCCTCCTCCTTTCCAGGTTTAATCTCCCCTTGATCAGTTTCCATCCATTATTCCTTGTCTGGCCTTTAGGTCCTCTGGTAAACAGCTTGACTCTTTCCTCTCTGTAACAGCCCCTCAAGTATTGGAGCACTGCTATCCTGTCTCCCCTGGTCCTTCTGTTCACTAGACTAGCCACGCCTAGTTCCTGCAAGGCTTTATAGAGTGGTATTAGTATCTCACTTGATCTTCATTGTATCCCTCTGTTAATGCAATTTAGGATTGCATTGGCTTTTTTGGCTGCCGCTGTACACTGCTGGCACATATTTAGCTGGTTGTCTACAAAGACTGCAAGATCCCTCTCCCAGTCACTGTTATTTAGCCTGGTTTCACCCAGTCTATATGTTTCCTTTTGGTTTTTCTTGCCTAAGTTAGGACTTTATTTTTCTCTATATTGAATTTCATTTTGTTAGTTAGGTTCCAGGGTTCAAGTCTGTCGAGATCAATCTGGACCTTGAGCCTATCTTCTAGGGTGATGGCTATCCCTGCCAGCTTAGTATCACCTGCAAATTTGGTAAGTTTCCCTGATATTCTCTCATCTAAGTCATTTATGAAGATATTGAGGAGTACTGTTCCTAAGACCTTGTGGTACCCTACTGCTTACTTCCCTCCATGTGACTTGGACCCATTAAGGACTACTTGTTGAATATGGTTTTGTTTTAAATGTGTTTTTATTTTCCATTTCATTTTCGTACAGTCACATATATACTGTGCATAACCGGGGCCATATAACATNAAGGTAAGGGCAAGTCGCGTGGCGAAGGGAGAGTGGGCAGCGGGTGGGCAGCAGGTCCGGGGCAAGGCTGGAGCCATGTTAGGGAAATTTGAGAATAAAAAGAACATTAAAGCAAAATAAAATGCGCAAGCTGAAATATTAAATGTTACACTTAACATTAAAACCTTTTTTAAATGTCTTAAGTCTTTTGAAAAATGCAAATGACCCCTTATATGCCTTCAACTGTGTCAAATCCCCCCCAAAATACAAAAGCTTAATTAATTTTTTTTTAAATAGAAAGAAAATTAATTATGGATTTGAAGTTATGTTTGTTTCAAAGCTCTCCACAAGCAAGATTTCCATCATAGTGGTAGATGGTTAGTTAAAGCTAGGCTTTAAATATTCTGTTAGTCACGTGTTGCACATAATTAATGCAGAAATGCTGTGCAAAGCTTTCAAAACTTTACCTATACTGTACTGGGATGCCCAGAATTATGCATGCTTTTTAAAAGGGGACTAAATATTCTTCTAATTAACTACTGAGTACAAACATCAATTTACAACTCCCTTTAGGCCTATACTATTAGCAGGTATATTAAAATGCAATATTGCAGAAACTTCATTTGACTGACCGCTTCAAAAGTATCTTTCTGGAAAATACAGTAATTTCAGATGACACTACAGCAATTACTAGTTTTTCTTTCCCTAACAATTATTATAATTTCACAAAATCATTAATAATACTTCATAAATGAATTTAAAATCTTACAACTGCTTTTCTGAATTAAATAAGGAAAAACTGTTTGGACATTTTTCACAACAAATAATACATCAGGTTCACTGCACTGAAACAACTTCAGCACAAACTTAAAATATGTCATAAATTGAGGTAGACTTACAACATCTCTGACCTGAAAACTATGGTTTTCCAAGTTTCAACAGTACACATTTTAGTTTCTGTACAAACCAATGAAAAAATTCCTGATTCTACGGCCTTCAAAGTTGCTTCCAATTCTCTACAGCATGACTATGTTCTCAAGAGTCTAGAACAGGGGTGTCAAACTCAATTTGAGGGCCGCATCAGGGTTGTGTTTGAGCTTGGGGGGGCAGGATGTATGTGGTCAGCTTGACATCATTCGTGTCGGGAGCACCTGTGGGGGCGTGAGCATTCTGCCAGCGAAAATGAGCTCCTGAGCTCGTTTTTCAGCTGCAATGGCCTTCTGCAACACTCTGCCTGTGAAAACAGAGCTCCATTTTTGCTGGCAGAGGCGCTGTAGGCCGGTCCTTTGCTGTTTTGAGGGCGGCCCCGCAGGCCACATCTAAGCACCCTGTGGGCCGGATCTGGCCTGCGGGACTTGAGTTTGACACCCCTGGTCTAGAAATAATTATAGATTAACATTATCACTAGTATCAAAAGCCTGTCCAATAATAATATGGTAATCCTATCTGATGCTCCATAAGGAACTGGTATAAAAATGGGAAAGAGGAAGGAGAATTAAATGAAGAATATACAGGTAGTCTTCGGCTTACAAAAATTCATTTAGTGACTGTTCAAAGTTATAATGGCATTGAAAAAAGTGACTTATGACCGTTTTTCACACAACCATCTGGGAGTTATGTGCTGCCTCCAGAATCTCCAGAGTCAGACATCAGCAAGGCAAAGGAACAGGGGGAGCCTGTTCCCAGTGCGTGCATGCGCAAACAATTTGTGACTCATTATGGGCTGTGAATGAACATAATTCACAGCCTTTGAAATAAAAAGAGGGTTTTTTGGGACTAAGAGTGTGCTTTTTACTGTATCAGGAAGCCTAGGTGAGAACAGTGGGTTAGCGCCGCAAAACCCAGCTGATTCCTTTCTGCCAGGAGGTCCCACAGGGCCAAAGTCACCCTGGAGGGGTGACAAAGATAGGAGGGTCCGTTTGTTGATTGCGAGGAGACAGCGGTCTCTCCGCTAGATCCAAAGGAACCTTTCTGGCCTGTGGAAGAGAAGATGGCCATTATGGCCAGACCGAAGCTCTGACAACTGGGACAAGAGGAAGCACGAATCAACGACTTGAGAGCAGTGTACCAGATCTGGGTGAGAACTCTCTAATTTCTACCATGGAGATTATCCCCCCAAAAAACAAGATTTTGAAAATTGGGACTCCATAGAGAAGGGAGGAAGGGTTTGCTTTCCCTTCTCCAGAAAAAAAAGCAGCAAGTGAGATTTTGAGCTGATGACAGATTCCACCCCCCACCCACCCCCCAAAAAAGAACTTTAGTGGAAAGCAAGTAAACCAAAATTAAAGGGAAAGACTGGACTGGACATTATAATAGCATAAAAACTGCCTAGGAAATGGGAAAGACTTTTGTTTCTTTGTTAATTGGAACAGATAAACTTCTGAGGAATAAACTAATTTAAACTTTGCTGCATAAACTGGAAGAGAAGGAGTTAGTGCAACATCTATTGGCTGGAAAAGACATTACAGAAATGGAAATAAATGCTGGAAAAGAAGAGAAAGGGGACTTCCGGTTGATGTTGCAGTGAGAACGGACTGGAAATTAGTGGAACTCTGATGAGCTCCACAAAAACCAGCCGGTACCAGCTGCCAGGAGGCCTTTGGGCCATAGCCGTCTTGCAGGGATGGTGAAGAAAGGAGAGGTGTTTCATGGATGGCGAGGAACTGGCAGTCTCTTTGCCAGGACAAAAACAAGGTATCCCGATCAGTGGCAGGGGCGGCAGCCATTTTCCAATGGTCGTCTTGAAGCTTGGGCAACCGAAGTCCCGGAGTCCTTCGGGATTGGGCGGCATATAAATATATTTAATAAAAATAAATAAATAAAAACCGTACTAAGAATTGTCCTGGAACGGTGTTTGGACAGAGTGCTGGAACTGGGTGAGATAACTGCCAACTCTCACTTAAAGAAAATTTTTGGAAATTTGAGATAGATGGTCTTAAATTAATTCTGGAGTTTGGAATAGCGGCTATTTGGCACTCGGGGGGGGGGGGGGGGGGGAGGAAACTCTT